CTTGAGCGATTTGAAGGGATTGCTGGAAGGCAAATCTTGAATAAATACGAGACTGTACCATTCTAAATTGATTGATAACGTAATACTCTACCTACTGTAACCTTATTTGAGTCCATGTTTTACTGAGCCACAAACTATTTATCGTTTTTGAGTATCGGGCTATGTTAGTAAAAAGCAATGGCTACGGTATTTGTTTTGATGCTGTTCGTAAATTGTAAATAATACCACAATGGTTGGGACGTCTGGACAGTCTCGATACCGATAAGGGTCGGAGAGAAATAAAACTTGTGGAGCTGTAGTTTAGCCTAGAGCGCGAGGCTCTTCGAGTTTTGGGACAAATCAAAGCGAAACAGTATGACGATGCTTTATTGGTTAGACACAGACTGCAGCAACATTAAAGTTCAATGAAACAAGGAATTAACTACAATATTCTGTAATTACAACACATTTTAATAAGCCGACACTACTACGCTGAAATAAGTTCCCTCAAGCCGAGAGAGTTAAAGAATACGTATCGTATAGAACAATTAGCAAAACAGAAATTATAAAAAGTCCTTTCACAAAAATAAATAAATTAATAGATAAAATAAAAAATAAACTATGCGGTTAGGACTTGTAACAATTTCAGTTTTATTTATCTTTTAAACAAATTTCACAAGCAAATGGTGTTTCCTGACCTTAGGATACTCTTTTACTAGAAACAAAAAGTACCCAAACACAAATCCAGGATGATGGGTTAACATTACACATATTTGTTTCTCTGCATAGTTTAGCACTCAATGACGTCAGCTGCACAAAGCGGCTCCATGTTCTATGAGTGAGATACTCTGTAACTGCCACCACTGTCCGAGGATGAACTAATTAGATGAGGATGAATCAAAACCCTCGAAAACTACGTTATTTCATGCGTAGCAGTATTACATTCAAGCCTCTTCGTGTGACAGAAGAAAAATTGAAAACAACTATTGACAAAAAAAAATAAGATCGGGCCAGTGACTCATTCTAATGTTGGACAGAAACACTAAAGGGCAAGCAAGTGTGTGGAAGATTGGCTTTACATTTCATGGCATGATACTCTAAACTTTTCGGCGTCTGCTGAGATATTCATTGGGTTTTTAAACAGTCAGTTTGAGCGATGTTTGTTTTCATACAATTACCTGCAACATAATAAATCGATGTATGCCGAAATATTTTTTTAA